AAACCCAAAAAACCAAAACTCATTTTAGGGTAAAGTATTTGGTGTATGATATTGTTTAGCAACCCAAGACATATTAATTCATATACTTAAAAGCAATGGAAACATTACACAGTTATTTTGTAACTACAAAATTTGGATGCTTCTAAGATACAGAATCAATTTTTAAGAACTTCGTGCACAACATTTTAGGACCTGGACATGAGAACTAAGCCATTTATTTTTATGCTGAGTTAAAATTGAATCGCCAGCTTTGTTCCATCTGAAAATGTAGTAATTCCATAGCTGAGCCTCCCTTTTTGCATTCAGACCGTAAAACTAGGAATGTTCTGAAAGAAATATCTATTTACCATGCCCAGATTGCCCTCTTAGGTTTTTATGAAACCATCCTCGCCTCTTTCCCATTCAATTTATTTTCTTATTTGAGTACAAATGTTTTCAGACTTTTTGAAGAAAGTATGCATGAAATGAAGAGGTTTTAAATGCATGTGCAATGGCTAATTGCTTTTAAATTTTTAGCTTATTCTAGGGAACACCTTAGTGGCTTGAAGAAACTCTTTCTCTTGAGAAGAGGTTAAAAGAAGTCAGAAACAACCCATTATACAGAGCAATCTGCTTATACTGAACACACTTTAGTCTTTCAGTGATTAAAACAAGAGTTCAAGTTTTCCGCATTTATCCTTCTCATCACCAATTTCTAAGAATCAAGACACAGATAATATAAAAATTGAGATGATACTATTTATTCCCCCAGGAAGATTTTTTATGCTAGCCAGAACTTTTTGCTAAAAGAAATCTGCCCATGGAATGGTGCCTACTCTGTTATTTTGGTGGGAAGGGAAACTACAGAGAAAATAGTGCAGTTGGTGCTCTTATTATTTCAACAATGTCCAGGATTCTCAGAAGAAAGTGTCTGTTCAACTTGATACCTGCAGAGCATCATACTATTCAACTCCAAGCATAATCCAGTTTCTTTTAGATTTTCTTCATTTCAATTTTTGTAATAAGATATTAGACAATTATTTCAAAAGAATTTTTTGATGCCACTGATGTACTTAAAAAAATAGCTGGACTGGAACTCGCTATGTAGACCAGGTTGGCTTCGATCTCACAGAGATCCACTTGCTCCTGCCTCCCAAGTAAGTGCTGGGGATAAAGGCGTGCGCCACCATGCCTCTCAATTACTTCAATTTTAATTCATTCTAGCCTCTTCTTGGTACAACATATGATCTTCAGTGTGGGGTAAACATGCTAATTACATCTTAAATATCCCAGCATAGAACTTCCTTTTAAGCATACTTTGAGAAAGTCAACTTTATCCTGAAACATTGGAAATCGGTATTGTCAACTCTTAGAAATGTAACACCAAAATTAACACCAAAGGCTTGAAAGGATGACTTTTGATGATACCTTTCCTTTTAAGAACTGTGTTTCTCGGTTCAGTTTGTTGCATGACATAAAAGGATAGATAGAACACTCTAATTTTACAATAAACTGTGTGATTAAGGTGCTGTTCTATTGCTATATCTAGTTCTTATTAATTTCCTAGGCTATCTTTTTCAACACTTACCTGTGACTATAATACATACTGACTCATTGCGGTGAAGCCCTCTGGTAGCTTTTTGTTTACATTTCTATGTGTGCATGTGTGTGTCAGTGTGTGTATGGAAATTGGAAAAAGAAAACCTAAAAGCTGGAAATAGCCCAAGTACGAAACACTTGTTATCCTACAGGGCAGTCCATTATAAATAGGAAACCTGTCAGGACATAGAAAGGTTAATATGGTTCTAAAAATTTTTCACTGTAACCCAAATTCTACATTTTTCTGGTTTTAAAGATGCCACCTGTACTTCCCAGGTAACCGATCTATTTAAAAGTCAACCAAATAATGTGTTTCCAAACAGAAAACATGTACTGATAGAACATTACCCTCAAATGGAAATGACACTAAGATTATCTCTATAAAATTAACAATAATTGAAAATAAATCCCTATAACTAATAAGAGAAGTCAGCATATTCTTAAGTATATATATTATATATATGTATATACAGAGCCTATTTTTTTAAGTTTTCAAACAAGAATGTTTTCATTACAGTACTTTGGAAATTTCTGATGACCGCACAATGTGAGATTCTAATGATAGAGTCATTAGAACAGCCGTATGAAATAAATGATTTGAACCTGCCAGAAGGATTAGCTCAGTTCAGTTGGGTCCCCTGGATAATAACTGACTATGAGCCTAATTGCATAATTAGAGAAATAATAGATTGGATGAATTTTACATTACTTTTCTGTCATAGTTGAGACCATCGTTTTATCATTAGTTCAAATACAAAGATGGCAGGATTGCCCAGAAGCAAAGTTAAAAACTGGAAAAATATTAATACTTTTAAAAGTCAACTATCATTTTAATTTTAGCCTTAAACATTTCTTGTGGAAGGGAATCCAAGCTCTCCCATTATGAGCATTTCCCAAACATAGAAAATCGTATTTTTTTTAAACCAACATCTCAGTGCTGTTCATTTATTCCCTTTGTCACATTGAATAAGTATATAGAAGTTCCTGGAGGCAAAGGACAGGGATTAGCTTCAAATGTGGCTGGGTCTAACCTTTCCCTTAATCTCCAAGGTGGGACTTGAGTTTTATTAAATCTAACTTTACTACATCAAGTTAATTATGTAAGAAGTGTTTGAAGAATATGAATTACTGTATTTCACATGGTGACTCTTAGGAATAGTAGATAACAGAGACAATTATAAACAAGGAGTTAATATTGCCTCAGGAAAGTCAGAGAACTTTCAAATAATTAAACTTATTTCTCACTAGCTTCCTGATGGTTGAGAGAATTTCAAGTGATCTGTGACACACTTGGTAGCCAAAAACTTTAAAATATGCTAAATGTTTCTTTCGTTAACCTTCCTAGTTAGTTTTTCTTCTTCCTTTTATTTGGTGCAATGGCAAACTCCCACATGTCTCATAGACAACAAATTATGAGTATCAAGGAATGCCATTTTTTTTGTTATTGTGTTATTATTGAGCATTATCATTTGATTTGTTTCTAATCCTTAAGAGAAATGAGTATCTTAAAACACTGATGAATTTGATGGTTATGAATAATCACTGGTGCCAGAAACAGTTCTTAAAGCACAGACACAGTGTGCCAGATGTCATTCTAAGTTCTTGGACACACATACACACCCTCACACACTCACTCTTCCACAGTTCTTGTGAGCTGATACACCAGGAATGACTTCCCAGTTGTTCTTTCCTTTTCTTTTCCTTTCTTTAAATACTAAAACTATATTTTCATCATCGAAGTGCAATCCTTTCTCCCATTAGCATGTGAAATGTACAGCTGAGCAGTTGGCTGACCGAGGCCAGCAGTTAGGACTATGTTGCTAACCTGCCCTAAGAGAATAAATGAAAAACACTGCTCTGGTCCTCTCCTCTCCCACATGCCTGCTGGGCTGACTTGGTTAACCGCATGAGCTAAAAAATAAAAACTTGGCTTTTGGAAGTGCATAAAAGTATACTAGAAAAAAGTCTCTAACATTGGATCCACACAGTCTGCAGCCATCGGCTTTTGGAAAGGGTACAACAGAGAACCCTTCATGGATAGTGGATAAATAGAAAGAGTCACATCACATATTTCAGTGTCACATTGGAAAAGGAGAAAGGCAACAGATTAGGAGTCCTTGTCACTGTCCACCCCTCCATACATATCTGCCAGCTTCTTGAACCGAGGGCCCCAGTCGCTCAAGAAGTCATAGTCGTGATCCCCATCTGTCGTCGCTGACTCCAGCGAGCTTAGAGAGTCGGCCACCGAGCCGGTGCCTTCATAGGCATAGGTGGCCAAGGAGTCGTACGGCGGGGCAGTGGGGTCCGTGTCATTTTCCTTTAACCTTTGGTTAATGAAATCTCTGACATCAGTGTTGTCGCGAGCTGTTGGAGTCCGTCGCGGTAGAAAGAGAGCTTCAGGCACAATGTCCCTGCGCGATTTGCTGTCCTCCATGGCTTCAGGATTCCTCAGGGTGCCAATATCAAAGGCCTGGGTGTCTTCCTCTCCGCCACCTTCATCGTTGTAACTGACAATGTTATCTCTGATGTCCTCTTTGGAAATGATCAAAGGCTCTTTCTTTCGTTGCCGCCTCAGAGCTGCAAACAGCACCACTGTCACTGGAAGCAGAGCAAAGCAGAGGGAAGGAAAGTTAATTTGCCACCCAATTAACGTCGGGAAGAAACACTGCACCAACAAAGTTTTATAAGTTCGCTGGAAATGCAGGCTCAGCTTGTACGTCTTTAAGGGTGCATTTGTCCCCATCCATAATCAGATCAGGCGAGAAGTGGAGCAAATATTTGAAAGCAGACTATAATTTAACTAGAGAATAAAACACCACCATATTTTGTCAGTAATTCTTTTTATATTTTTCTTTCTCTTTTCCTTTTTGCTTTGATTTGCAAACTACTGTCAAGGTACGAAAAAAAAAATTAAATAAAAAGCTCATCCGGAGTGAAGGTAGTTATAAAACTGCAAATTATGCCACGCACCCAAAATGCTCCAAAACTGGTTATAAAGGACAAGACTCGCACCTTCTGGGATGTGTTGAAGGGTTTGTGTAACTCTGCATCTAAAATAACTTTTGCATTATGCCTTCCTCTCTTTTTTCCTCCCAGAAAAGTGTAAAATTAGTTCAAAATCCCAAGCAGAGATGTGAATGTTTGCATACCTTCCCACCTACAAAGAAACAGTATTACAGATAAAAAAACCTAGAGAGACCCAGATTCTAAAAACTACTCTGGGCCTTGAGCTCAGCCAATTTGCATCAGGCAGATAGTAAAATATACTTTCCATATTATCTGTATTTGAGTTAAACAAACATTTAAATGAGGTTTCTTTTTCAAAGACTCATATTCTACAAGTTTGTTGGCCAGAATGTCTATGTTTTAGATTTTTTTTTTTTCCTTCTAGCTCAAATTAGAGGCAAAGCAAGAATTGTGTTTAAACAGCGTCTGATCTTTCTTCACAGCTGGCTGGTAGAACAAAGCTGGCTGCCCATGGAGAGACACATCTACCTACAAATGGACCTATGGGTGGGAAATAAAAATATAGCAACAGCTTACAGAGGAAACAACCATCCAGGGCAGAAAATGCCAGCCTAAGGCGGTCTAGAGGTGCCTACAGGAAGTGCTTAGTAATGCTTGCTTAGCATATCGCCCATAACATGATCCAGTTTGTGTAAGCCATGAAAATTAAATTTTTTGGAACAAGATTTAGTGGGTAAGTACATCTTTCCATATACTAACAGATGTCTACACACTCATCTGTGTATATATTATCTTTTAGACATTCAGAATATTAACTGACTACCTAGTGAGAGATTGTTCTGTGCCAATCATTGTGCTAAGTGCATTTTATGTTCAATCACATCTAATTACCATGAAATAGGAGCCACAGTTTTAACCCCAGTTTACCAAAGAGGAAGTTGAAACCTAGAGATGTCACATGTACCAGGCATTCAAGTCCAGGTCTATCAGACTAAAAAGCCTGCACTCTTACCTGCCATGTTGGCGGCATATTGAGATTATAGACTCTTTTCTAAGGAAATACAGTTTTGTCATTCTCAAGTATGTGGCGGTGTACCTGTCCACACTCTCTGTTCTCAGTGTCCTGATACCTCGCTTGCCACATTCTTTCACTAAATGATTACGTAGTGTCTGCTTAGTGCCAGGTATGGTTTTGGTACTATCAGTGAAACATGTGGATCAAAAGCCCTGCCTCTGAGAGTGGATGGAATGTGGAGACCATAGGATGGAGACAGAGAACAATGTATTAGAAGATGAGAAATGTAAACAAGAAAAAGTAGAGCAAGGAGGACAGGAGCCTTCTGTGTTACATGGGCTATGCACACCTGCATCAATTCAGCAAAGAAAGTAGGATTATCCAAGGTGCTCTCTGGTAAAGCTCCAGGAAAAGACTGCTGGTGTCTAAGCCAAGAGCCTCTGAGGCTGGAGTGAAGGACCTGGGGAAAGCAGCAGGGAGAAGAGCCAAGCCCAAGAGACCTTGGTGGCTTCTGTAACTTTCACCTTTTCCTTGGTGGGTTTGGGGATAGTGACCTGCAGGCCTTTGGACTGATCTAACTTTTTTGCAGGTTTCCAGTGTAACCAAAAGCATGGGTTTGAAAACAGGGTTGTGAACCAAGCCAACTGCCCTCAAGGAATTCAGCTCTGACATGCATGAATTATTTTAGTCATTAAAGGCAAGACAGCAAACACTTGTCACTTCTAATTCTTCTCCAGATGAATGAGCCTAGACTTTTACAAATTTCAGTCCTATGCGCATCTGAAAGCATAGCTATCTAGAAATGAGAGGATATATTCAAACAAATCATTGGTACTTAGTCATAGCTTAATTCTATCTCTAAAACTACATCTACCTTTTATTAGCCCAATGAACATCTAAACAATTTCTTGAGTATGCTTGAGTATGTGTCCTGAAAATCTTCCTGAAAACTGACTTTTTTTTTTTTTTTTTTTTTTTTTTTG